CTCTCTCTCTCTCTCTCTCTCTCTCTCTCTCTCTCTCTCTCTCTGGTTTTTCGAGACAGGCTTTCTCTATGTAGCTTTGCGCTTTTCCTGGATCTCACTCTGTAGACCAGGCTGGCCTTGAACTCACAAAGATCCACCTGCCTCTGCCTTCCAAGTGCTGGGATTAAAGGCGTGCGTCACCACCGCCCGGCTCAGTATATTTCTCAAAAAATTAAAAGTAAAACTACCACATGACCCAACTGTCTCACTCTTGGGAATATACACAGAGAACTCCATACCCTGCTATGCAGATAATTATATCCCCATATTCTGCTTTATTCACTGTAGCAAAGGATTTGGAATCAGCCTGGTTGTCCATGAAAAGATGAATGTATATGTATGTGTGTGTATATATATATACATATATATATGTGTGTATATATATGTATATGTACATATATATATATAAATATAAAATGGAATACTCTTCAGCTGTATAAGAAAAATGTAATAAATTTGTAGGAAAATGAATGAACTTAGATTAGAATGTATAATATTAGCTGAGGTCATATAATCTTAAATTAATGCCTAATTCATACTCTGTTTTCATCAGAAATCCTCAGGATGTCTTTCAGTTACCTTCCCCAGACCTTCCAACCAGAATCTTGTAGCAGTTTGGTATATTTTGTCCTCACAAATACCTTATTTAAATAGATTCTTATTTAAAATAATCCCTTTCACTTATTTTTATTAGGAGGCTGTGATATTTGTCTTTGAGACTGCTCCACACTTAGAAGTTATCTATAATCCCCTTGGTTTTTAATTTGCTTCACTATTGGTGTAGGAAGCTGTAAATTAATAAATATATATTTATTATATAACATAATAACTATATAATAAATTATATCCTGGATTAGATTTTAGTTAAACTTTTTTTTCTTTTTGCAGGACTTCATTGGTTATAATTGTGTGTGTTTCTTTACCTTTGAAGCCCTATAATTTCTGGTTATTCCACTCTTAATATATCTTCATTTATACCTCCACCTACTTTCTACAGTATGGGGGATTGAATCTAGGGCCTTGTATATGTATTCTTGGCCTTTAATACTGTTTGAACAACTAACAAAGGCTGTGATCATGAGCTTTGTTTAAAACAAAGGCACATTTTCCTTTTTTTAATTTTATTAGGTCTCTTCTGACACCATGTGAATATCTTATTCTGCATTATATCATTTAACTCATTGTTGCTTGCATCTAGTATTGAACCTTGTCTTAGTTACTGTTTATTATTGTGAAGAGACACCTTGACCAAGACAGCTTATAGAAGGAAGCATTGCATTGTGAGCTTGCTTACAGTTTCAAGGGTTAGTTCATTATTGCGGCAGGGAGAGTGGCAGCAGGTGGGCAGGAATGGTGCTGGGGAAGGAGCTGAGATCTCACATCTGATCCACAAGTTGCAGGCTGAAAGGGGGCTGCGGGGAGGGAGACATGCACACTTGAAACTTCAAAGCCCACTCCCAGTTATACACCTTTTAGAAGGCCATACCTCCTACTTCTTCCTAAACCACGCTGTTCCTGTGATTCAGCATATTCAAATATATGAAGCTGTGGACACTGTTCTTATTCAAACCATCATAAACCCTACCACTGTCTTTTGTTAGACTGACAGTCGCAGACTGGTGAAAAACCTTCAGATTACTGCTTGTACTTTTAGAAGAATAGTAGTAAATAGTGTAAGGAATAGTGTAAATAGTCTCTCACACCATTGACAGATTAAATTTATTACTTATTCGCATTGTTCATAATATAGTAAGCCATGAGTGACATCACTTTTATGGCAAATCTAAAAGAGGCAAAGTGTTGAGAAATAGAATAATAGCACTGAGGCAAAGGAAGTGGGCAGATGTTGGAATAGTCATCCAAGAGGTACAGTGGAGTAGAATTAGTAAATCTAAAGTCCAATATATAACAGAAATACAGTTAATGTTAATATTGTATATCAAAAATTTGCTAAATGAGTAGATTTTAGGTCCTTTTACCACACTGCAAAAAAATATTTAAGGAAGGGATGGATACATTCTTAACTTGTATTAATCATTTCATTGTTTTCATGTTTATCAAAACATTTTGTATTCCTTAAGGTATAATAATGTATAATGAACTTTTTTAACTTATTAAATGTAATATGATAGGTTTTGACTTTTCTTTGTATGCCCTAGTTGTTTTAGATTTGGCTAGTGGGAATGGAACCGTTTCTAGCTCTCTTGCTTCTCTTTTATGTAAACCCAACGTCTTTGAGCACTTCTTTGTTTTCTGCACAGTAAAGTGACCTAGATTCATCATATACTTTTCTTTTTTCAGTTAAAGAATTCATTTCTCTTAGGATTCTTAGTTCTTTTTGTACAGCCTAAATACTTAGAATACTTGAGTGCTAACTATGTTCATTGCCTATAGGCCCTGTCATCAGACAGCTAGAAAAAATAAGCTATAAGTTTATATGGATAGCTTTACTTTAAATTTAGCAAAGCAGAATTAAAAAATGTATTTATTATTAGTGGGTTGGGGGAGAGGCCATTTACATGCCATAGTACTTGTAAGGAGGTCAGAGGGCAAACCTCTGGAGTTTTTTATTATGTAATCCAGGGATTGAACTCAGTTTATTAGATGTTTATAGCAAGGGCTTTTACTTGCTGAGCCATTTTGTGAGTCCTGATGTGACAGAATTTTGTATTTGGTTTACTGTTCCATCCTGTGCACAGATAACCACCTTATAATGTCACTAATGATAATTACTGGGATAGTAAATAGTGATTTTTGAGCTTTGCAGCTCTTTTTGCTGTTAGTATTTTACTGAGGATGACTGGTCAGAAGCTGGGCATGGTGGCACACACCTGTAATAACTAGCTGGCACTTGGGAAGCTTGATAGAGGAAACTTGCCATGAATTTGAAGTCAGACTGGGCTACATAGCAGGCAGGGTGCCACAGGCCTTTCATCCCAGCGGAAGCCGGGGGATAGATCTCTGTTAGTTCAAGGCTAGCTGGTGTGCAGAGAGTTCTCACAATAAAACAATTCTTTAAAAAAA